GGGGTCGCTCGTGGCCAAGCTGCTCCTGCCCACCCTCAGCAGCCTGGCCTTCCTCCCCACCGTCAGCATCGCCGCCAAGAGGCGCTTCCACATGGAGGCCATGGTCTATCTCTTCACCATGTTCTTCGTGGCGGTGAGTCTGGGCTGGGCTGGGGGTCGGGGGACCCGGTGGGGCACCCCCCACAGGCGGAGCAGAGGGGCTGTCTCCCTCCCCCTCCCCCACACTTTCCTCTATTTCCTGATGAAGAAAGCGATTTGGAGATGAAAGAAAAAGCCCGGAGTCCCGGAGGGAGGGTTGGGGGAGCCACTCCTCCCCTCTGGCCTCAGTTTCCCCGTTGCTGCCAGGAAATCGCTCAGGAATTGGTGTGAGTGAGACCAGGCCCCTCCCAGGGGGCCAGGGTCAGGCCACTGAGGACAAGCCCTTAGGTGCCCCTTTCTGGCCACCGGGCCACGACTCAAGGCCATCGTGGCTCCCTCTCCCCCTCCCTCCCCCACACCCTCCGGCTATAAGAAGAGGGCGGCCGAGCAGGGAGGACAGGGAGCCCGGCCCAGGAGGGGTGAGCGGCTTCGGGATCCCGGGCCGGGGAGTCCGCCTCCAGGACTGCGGAGCTGACCCCGAACGGGGCCTCGCGCAGCCGCTGCTCCTGTCTCCTTGGGGCTTCCCTGTCTCTCTCTTCGGGCCCTTCCTTCTCGTTCTATTTATAGGCCTGGACGATCTCTCTGTGTCCCCCTCCCCCACCCCGTCTCCCCGTGGGTCTCTGCCCCGCTCTGTCGCTCTTACTGGTTCTCTCTGGGTCTTGTTTTCTCTCTGCATCTACCCTTTTCCTTTCTTTCTTTTTCTTTGTCTGTGTCTGGTTGCCTCTTCGTTTCTGGAATTACATCCCCATGGAACTCGCTCTGTCTAAACCTCTCGGTGCCTCCCTCCGGCTCTGTTCCCCTGACCCTCCGTGTGTCTCTCCGATCCATCCCTCCCTCTAGCGTCTGTCTGTCTGTCTGTCTACCTGCCTAAGTGTCTACCTACCCAATCAATCCTCTGTCTGTGCGTGTAGCTACCTAGCTAAGCAGTCATCCCCCTACGCGTCTGTCCCCTCTCTGGTCTCAGCGCCTTCCTGCCTCCCGTCTCTGCTCCCCGCTGAGGCCTTTGTTGGACTCGCAAAGCGGCTCCTCTGTGTTCCTTGATCATCCTCCATAGACCCGTCCTTCGTCCTTCGTTCAGCCCAGCTCCCCGAGGCGCATGTCGTGGGGAGGCCTCCCGCCCGGGCCAGCCTCCGGGCCTCCGGGGGCGGGGGCC